GTTCAATATGTGAATGGACGGGTGATTTAACTGATGCAGTATTTATCACAGGGTTAAAGATTAACAAGGTACGAAGCTCGATTCCTAACACCAAAAGTTGAATGAAAAAGGAATCAAGTATGTTGGGATACACCATTGGGGGGTTTTAAGTATGTAAAGAAGTGGAAGAAGGTATCAGGGGTGGAAAGGCCCGACAAGGTAACTCCACATCCTATACAACCCCAAGAGGATCCTAATTAGAATAAGTTATACTCCGTGTATGTACAGTATGCCCAAAAAAACTCTACTGTCATGTATATCTAAAAAGAACAAATAATAATAAGACTCTGAGCTATAGGATGAAATCTAATAAAATTGGAAGAAAGTTTCATCCTGTATCTTGTGCCTAACCCACTCAGAGTTCTACAAGATAATCAAATTCATTTTAACCTCTTTGGGGGGTTATTAACCAAATTTCTTCAGCAAGTACTCGAGAAAACTGGCAGAGGCCGTTCCTCAGATGAACAGTGTAGCTTCTAGGTCCTTCTTAACTTGCATGAGCTGCAGAGTCTTTCCCAGGATCAGAGAGAACTGGTGAGAAAGCAGTCTTATACAAAAGTTCAGATTAGCCACACGAAAATGTTGTCAAACTCTGCCCCTCTCCCCTTCTTCCTAGGGGGCACCTTCTACTTTAGATCTACCATCAAGATTAATCAGCTTCATATTCCTTTGCGTAAGGGCTGTGTGTCTGCCAAGGGGGCAAGAAGGACCAGGGTTTCTCCTAGGACCTGCCATACTGTTATCATTCACTTAAAAAAAAATTAAACTAGCCAGACTTCTGATTTCACCTACACAGGAGAAAGCATGGAATCTAGTCTAAACCCCAAAGCCAAGCTTACCATCTGTTGCATAATTTCCCCTTCCACACTCCAATTCCCTCTTAGAATCATTTTTTTAAAAATTAGTGTTAGTCGAAACATGGATGAACCTTGAAAACATTCTGCTAAGGGAAAAGCCAGCCACAAAAGACCATGTATGGTATGATCCTCTTTGTACAAAATGTCCAGAATGGACAAATCTGTGGAACCAGAGTATCGGTTTGCCTAGAGCAGAAAGGCTAGAGGTGATGGAAGAAGGAGCGGGCAACTCCTCCTCAAGGTACGGAGTTTCCTTTGGGGTTGATGAAAATAAGATTGACAGCGGTGATGGTTTCACAACTCTGTGAATATGTTAAAAGCCATTGAATTATATACATGATGAGTTAATTATCTCTTAATATTTTACCATGTCAACCTATTTTACACTAAGCAATTAGACATTGCCAAATGTCAACTAAAAGCAATTCCCAAGTCCTTTATTGAGTAGTCTGTGTTCATAAAAATATGCTAAATAAAGTGACAGCATAGTTCATTCATTGGAAAAGTAATGCATACGAGAAAATAAGAGCCAGAGAAATATATCAGTCTTGAATTATCACATGTTATTATGGGTCTTGTTATGGTTTAGATATAAGGTGTCCCATAAAGGCTCATGTGTGGGACAATGCAAGAATTTTCAGAGCTGAAGTGATTAGATTGAGAGGTGTAACCTAGTCAGTAAGTTAATCCACTGATATGGATTAACGGGGCAGGTAGGATATGGCTACAGGAAGTAGGTCACTGGGGGGTGTGCCTTGGGTGTTTATATTTTGTCCTTGGTGAGTGAAGTATCTGTTTCTTGGCTGCCATGAACTGAGCAGTTTTTATCTGCCACACTTTCTACCATGAAGTTCTGTCTCATCTCAGGTCCACAGCTGTGGAGTCTGTTGATCCTACACGGAACCCTGAAACTATGAACCAAAATAGATTTTTCCTTTCTGAATTGTTTTGGTCACAGTGATGAAAAGCTGACTAAAGAGGTCTTAATTTCTTCTGGGGAGTTCTTAATCAGGCTTTTTTTTTTTTTTTTAAGCAATTACCTAGGACAAAGCATGGTTGCATTTTTTAAAACGAACAGTGTAGCTTCAGGACTGTGTCTCATGTTTGTTTCTAGACAGAACCCAACACTGACACACCCAGTAGTGTCCACACGTTATAGCAGGAGAGCTAGTGTTGTATGTGCATTTTGCCTTCATCGGGCACACTGGCCAGCATGTGACTCATTTAGTGCATGTGAAAAGGAATCAGCGAAATTGAACAGCAACAAGTGGCTAAGTTCTCTGGGAGAAAGGTGACCATGTGATGTTGCCAAGAGTACCCAGTTACCTGAGGAGAATCCCTCTCTGCAGTCACTAGGTGTGGGATGTTATTTAAGGATGAATAATGGACTTAAGGCGTAACAATTGATGTATCATTATTTGTGACTGTTTTAGAGAAAAAAAGCGATGGGTGGGGTGCAGTAGTGTGATCATGTAAGCGACTGCCACCAACTCAGGTCGACATTTCTGAACAAGGTTTGATGATTTAACTGAAGACATTTGATCACCTCTACCCCCCAAGAAAATAGGAAAAATGCAAACCACCTATCTCCTGTCAGTCAGAATACGAAAGGAGTCCATCCCGCTCTGAATGAGTTAGTCCCAAATTCCAGGACTTTCAAGAATCCTAAAAGTCAGATGGTGTGGCCACCTAAATCATTAAGCAGGAGAGGAAGAAATCCTCAGTGTCCTGCTGGTAGAATGAGAGATGGTGACTTACCAGAATTTTGGCAACTCTAGCTCTGGTCATTAAAGTTCCCAGACGTGTATTATGGTGTGGATATGAGGTGTCCCTCCAAAGCTCCTGTGTTAAGGCAGGAATATTCAGAGATTATGAGAGCTGTAACCTAATCAGTCCACCCTAGTTGGAACGGACTGACTGGGTGATGACTATTGGCAGGTGGGATGTGGCTAGAGGCGGTGGGTCCCTGGGGGCATGCCTTAAAAGTATGCGTCTTCCTTGTGGCCCCTCTTTCCTGCCTCCCGACCACCATGAGCACAGCAGCTTTCCTCCACTCACCTTCCGCCATGATGTTCTGCCTCATCTCCCACCCAGAGCAATGGAGTGCATCAATCATGACTTAAATCTCTAAAGCCGTGGGCCAAAATAAACTTTTCCCCCTCTAAGTTGTTGTCAGGAATTTTTGTCACAGCAATGCCAAGCTGATGAACATATCGGGTCACACCAAAAACAACATTCTGTTTGCTCAGGGATACACAGTTGAAAAGTATAAGTAGTCCAGCTATAGCTCTCCTGATGCCATCAAATGTGTATATAAATGTGCTGCCTTTACAAGGAAGATGCTTGTTCTAATAATTGGGTTATTTTGTTGTTTAAATTGCTTTACACTTTACAAGTAGATGTGTGCACACCACATAAGTACCCATCCTCTCCACCATCCTCTCCACCACTTGTCATTTTTGTTTAAAACCATCCTCCCAAGTGGGAACTGATGTCTCTCACTGTGAGATACCAGTGGATTTCCGTTTCTCATGTTCTTTCCTTCATTTTCACCTTTTTCTTTCGTTGATGAATGACCAGAGCTAGAGCAACCACCAAGTTGCCTACCACTTCCCAAAGGAAGAAACCATGTTTATTCATTTATATTCTCAGCACCTACCTAGTGCTTAGCACAGAGTATATACTCAATGTTGTCAGATTCGTGATCAAACACACACACCCCATTTTGGCTCCTCCTCCTGCCCAGATCCCTCCCAGAATTCTCCTTGGAAAAACAGTTTGAGAGTTTTGAAAACCTTGAAGTGAACTCAATAGATGAGTCATGGTTTGCATGATGCAAAAGTAAACCGAGAGAAGCCGTGATATTTTAAAAATATAATTTGTACATTACCAAATCTCTTTGAAGTCATTTATCTACCTCCTAAGAAGTAACATCTTTTCTAAATTAAAGGCTGAGCAAAATAGTTTCTAAGAAATTATGAAAAGGATTCATTTCCTCCCGTTTGTGGAGAGTAAGCCCTCAGTGACCTATTTTAATAAAGGTCTATGGAAAATGTCATGGTAAAATAGAGAGTATCTTATGGTCATTTCAACCCAACTGATTTTTACTAAAACTAAGAAAAGTTGACGAGGTCTAAGACCTTCATGAGAGCCAGAGTCAGGAGAATAAATTCATTTTCTGAGCCTCTCCCTTCTTCCCACCCCAATGAATCATGCCTTGATTATTTGGTCTTATCTGAAACCATCTGCTTCCATGGTGAAGTGCTAGTGTGTACGGAGCTGTGCTTGCCCTTCTGAAGCAGTTTCTTGTGTGTGAGCCGCTTCTCTGTGAAGGAGGGGAAGCAGGCGGGTTTTGTCTGTTTTTTTAACTTTCCCTCCTGGATCAATAAATTTCAACTAATAAAGGACACTAACGAAGGGAGTTATAGTTGGGTTTTCCTTCCTTGGTCAATGGAACCTGTATCACTCCACACTATCCAGTAATGTTGAATTGTGTATTATCATGAATTCCCCAGATTTTTTTTTTTAGATAGAGTTTAAGTAGAAGGAATAAGACTATGTTTTAGTCTTTGCTGGCAATTTCTAGTGGCCCTGTGGAAAGCTAAACCCCCAGAAGCCACTGTCTTCACATCAGGAGTGGTTAAATATCCTCAGGATCTTTCCAACCATGGAGCCGAGTTCACTTCTACTCCAAAGTGCACCAAGCCTTTTAAGAACAAGGGCTGGGGATATAGATCTGTGTAGAGTACTTGCCTGGCATGCATGAGAGTCTGGGTTCCATTGCCAACATGGTGGCAGTTAAGAGAAGTTTTGAAATAAGCCTTGTGAAAAGAGACTTGTTGCCCAGAATTTGGGAGCACTTCAGGAGTCTCAGATCCTAGCATCTCTACTTGATTCACTGGCTCCAACAGGCTCCCAACAGCAGACGTGGTCTAACCTGTTTCTAAGGGATCTGGGCTGATGTTCACTCTCCAAGTGTGAGCTACTGTTTGGATTTATTGTCTTTTCTATGGGTACTCTTGGGAAACTCATGCTGTCTCTGGTCACATGACCTTAGCTGTGCTGGATCTGGACTGACAGTTTCCTCTTTGCCCTCTTTCACAGGATACATCCCCAGCTACTTAGACAAGGACGAGCTCTGTGTCGTGTGTGGTGACAAAGCCACTGGGTATCACTACCGCTGCATCACGTGTGAAGGCTGCAAGGTAAGCACCCTGGGTGCCCAGCACTCAGCTGTACCATTTCTGATCCTTTCCTGTGTTAATTCCCAATTAACATCAAATCCAGCATTCGTGGCCTGTGACCAACCAGGGGTCTGGTGCTGCTCTTCATGTTTGACACATTTCAGAACTGAACTCTTGGGGTTGGGGCTCAGTGGTAGAGTGTGTGCCTAGTACATGTGGGGCGCTGGGTTCAATCCTCAATAAATAAAATAAGGATATCATATCCATCTACAATTTTTTAAAAAAGAACTATTTCACCAAATTGTAAGTAACTACATGAAGTTTTGTGAGAGTGTGACATCTGGTTTCTTTACCTCTCCAAGTATTTTTAAAGCAGGAAGAAAATCAAAATTTTTAAACTTTTACTGTGAGTTTTTTTTTTTTAAATGCATTTCTATCCCAAGAAAATGCCATTTCTCCTCCCATTTTATCTGCAGTACTGGAGGAGACAGGGTTTGCTCTGCCGCAGGCTACTTCCACCGTTCATCTGCATGAATCTGTCCACTTTTAAGGGTTCCATTAGGAAATATCTTTAAGGCTACTTAGACTCAATTATGTTCTGAAATTTATCCAAAGTGGCTTTCTGTAAAGGCTGTAGTAAATACCTGATGGATAGCCAGACTAATTTTATTCTCTGCAGACCTTTCTTAAGATCCTTGACAAGAACATACCAGTAATCAACAGTCAAAAGCGAGCCTAAATTTGCCTACTTAGAATCTTTGTCAACAAAATTAATCTTTATGGAAAACATCTTTTGGCCTGACAACCTAGCCAGAAAAATAGTCTGTCATAAAAAGCTAAAGCCAGTGCTATATCCTTCATTCATCTAATGCAGTATAAATGAAGATATATTTAAAAATTGGGGACTTTCAAATTTTCTTGACCTTTTTTTATATCTGAAATTTAATTATCACAATATGTAAACTAAAATTTGTACAACTCCATTTTCACCCATCTTATCTCTTCTTCTTCTGATACCCTATTCCTCCTCCTGCTAACCCCCAAAATTAACATGTTAGTCCATTACAAACCAAGGTGTATTCCACTTCCCTAGTGGAATATTTGCCTTACATGAAATTTGGAAATGCTTAGAAGTCTGCTTATAATGTTGACATGATACATCCCCTAAGGTCCCAGGGCCTTTTATCTGCAACACTGTTGTTTGAGACCCTGTTACACAACTTTCCATTCATCCAGACCCTTTTGATCTGGATGCTATAGTTCTTTAACAAAGACTGGGCTGAAGGTTGCCATTATGTCCATGAAAATAACATCTTAAGGAATTTCATGAAGCTAATTACAAGTAAGTCCTAGCTATTTATTAATTAGGAGACTTGTAGTCTCTCTTAAAAGCACAGTTTTATTGGCTTGATTTGAAAGTCATAAAACCATGAAACATTCTCTCATTCCAAAAACTCAGTAATTGAAACTAGCCTTCCCTCCCACCACCACCAATTAGCCTCAATTCAGAAGGCTTTACCTGACTGATTATGCAGCATTGAAACTCTTTTAAATCATTTCATATGGCAAATTTTGAATTCTGGGAGAGAATCTAATGAAAATTCCATTTAATACTTAACTCCCCAAAGTGACTCTCCAGACTGAATATGCCTTATAGAGCACTAAATGCATTACCAGCAATTGACTTAAACAAAGGGCGAACGGAGCTTATTAACCCATGTCCCTGCCTCGCTAAAATCAATTTTCCTCATTTCTCAAAACCACTGGATGTTTGGGGCTTGATTCAGCTAATGTTTCTTTAAAAAAAAAAAAAAATCATGTAGCACACCTGGTATTATGCAGGAGGATGGCAAGTTCAAAGCCAGCCTCAGCAACTTAGCAAAAACCTGTCTCAAGAAAAAAGAATAAAAGGCTGGGGATGTGGCTCCTGGGTTAAATCCCCAGCAAACACACACAAAAAAAGATCATGTAGCAAAGGCAGCTTTCTCAAATCCTGTGCCTGTATCTCCATCAGAATTCTGATTCTGGGATTGCCTCCATTATTATCTAGAAAGGAGCCTTCCTTGATGGGGGCAGGCTGGTAATGACAAATTGGGAAAAAGTCAGTTTTTAAGAATGGCAAAAGATTTTTTTTCCCCAAAGCTATGCTTCACATATTGCTTAAACATGCGATTTTTTTTCTATGGGATAGAACGTTGTCCTTTTTTTCTCTAACAAAAGTAAAATCTTTTGGAGATATTTTCTTGTGCTAGTTGTTAATTTTTTTTCTTCTACAAAAGATGCATTATGTTGCTCCACAATTTTCTAAGACAGACCCAAAGCTTAAGAGCTTCCCAAATACTGAACTAGGAGGGTAACACTCAGCTCCTGATGTCACTGATTGGCACATCATCTCAGATCACTAGAAATAGGTCCATCTTCTCAGGATGTATTGAAACTTCTTAAAAAGGATACCTCTACTGACCAACAAACCAATGAAATATGTCATCATTCCATAAAACCTCAGAAAGGCTTTTGTCATTATATTACTCTGAGTGTTGAACCCAGGGACTTAGGGATTGGGGATTTAGCTTAGACCATGTGCTTAGCATCCCTAAAAGGATTTTTTAAGTAGACTATTATAAAGATCTTCTATTCAAGTGTGCTTTTATGGGCTGGGGATAAGCTTAGTTGGTAGAGTGTTTGCCTTAGGGCACAAGGCCCTGGGTTTGATCCCTAACACCAAAAAAAAAAAAAAAAATCAACTCTTGGGTTTTTTTTTTTTTTAATCTTGTCACTTTTTAAGATGAAGAGGCCAAGCATCTTTATATTTAACTGAGATGAAGTGGTCCGTCATCCTATGAAAGTATGCCTTATTATAGCTCAGGAGGGTATAAAAGGAAATAGGTCCATAAAGCACCGAAGAAAAGTCATCAAATGTAGGCACAGGAAAGATGGCACAATGATGGGTGTAGCAAGGAACCCCCAGCCTTTGTTCAGAATAGGCAAAGTCAAAATTATTTCACCCATCCCATTAGAGAGTGCATAGAATGGCCCTTGGGGAGAAGTGGGGCTCCCCTTATTCTGGCTTTCACACCTCACCCACTCATTAGTGCTGACTCTTCAGGATGCCCCCAACCCAGTCCTATCCTTGGAGCAGGCATCAGAAAGAACATGAGAAGAGGGTCACCCCAGCTTTCTATGGAGAAACCACCTGCCTGTCCTGAGCGGCCCAGTCCACATCCTCACTGGCTGTCTTGGACTTTCCCACCTCTAGGGAAACAGGTTGTGCTGGCCTCCAGTCTGTGCCCTGAAGGTTTTTTTAATTTTTTTCTTTTACGGTTATAGATAAACAGCATGCCTTTATTTGTTTAGTTTTTTATGCAGTATAAGGATTGAACCCAGTGCCTCACCCATGCTAGACAAGCGCTCTGCCACTGAGCTTGTGCCTTGCATCTTGCCTGTAATCTCTGGGTTTCTTTAGCCCTCTTCTGTCCTCCTTGGGGGTGGGGGTTGTAGCGCAGCTTACATTTCACTTCTGTGACATGCTCTGACATTGACACTATTCAGGAATTGCCCACCCTGAACAGCAACACTGCTGCCCTCTCACCCAGCTGAACCGTGTGTGATTCCATGGATCCTGTAACTGCATATTCACCTCACAGAACCTCATGAACTTGAACAATGCAAATAGTAAAGGATTTACACACAGGCCCCCAAATCAAGCCTATAAGTCTCAGTCATTTTTCTTTCTGCTTTGCCAACATAACGTCCTATGTTGGACCTTTTCATTGTAAGGAAGCGCTTTTGTGTCTGTTGAGGAATATGCAAAGTGGGCATATGGACGTCACCAAAGCCAAAGAAAATTACCCAGGATAACAAAAACGTGGGCTGAAGCTGGCATTTCTGTCCCACCATTTCTCTAACAAAGGGAGAGGCCCCCCCTTTAAGTTTCAGCCGCGAACTCCTTCAAACTTGCCAGTCTGCCAAGACAGATAAAAGAAATGTTTTGGAGGGGCAAGTGAGGGGGGAACTAGTGATATTCTGTTCATTCAAATAATACAGTAAAGTCATTTCATATCACGTAAGCAGTTAAGCAAAATAAGATTTGGATTACAATTCCGGGGTTACAGGTCAAGTTCCAGCATGAACTTACTGTGAAGCAAGCAACTGAATCTGAGTCTTAGTTTTTTAATCCCAATGATGGGGACATTAAGAGTACAGCCCCACCCCCAGGGTTATGGGGAAGACAGAAGGACATTCGTGTCCACAGCACTTTGCAACGTAGCCCTCACAATGAGTGCTGCCATTATCAGTTCCTGCAATTTAGAGTACAGTTGCCAAGACTTCAGAATCATGTCCAGAAAGCTTCGGGTACAATCCCCTTGAGCATGTTATGTAAGTCACCCAACCCTATAACTGAATAGCATCCTTCAGACAGGAAAAACAAATTGAATTTGTGGGTGTATGTCTACAGACATTGAAGAAAAGAAATGAGTTATGGGGGAAATGTGACAGAAAACCCAGAATTTTCTTCTAAGTGCTGTTGTTTGAAAGGCTACAAGAATTGGCCATCTCAAGAGTCAAAACAGGAATTAAACTAAATTTCTAAAGGCACTTAATGCATCTACTTAATTACCAAGTAATTGTTAATAAGTCTCAAAAGCATTCGGCTCTTTTAATCCCCAGTCTAAAGTCCCCCATAGCTTAAATTCAACATCATCGCAACACCCTATGAAATAATTTATATTATTCAATGTATAGATAATAAAAAAGTGCTAGATTCTCCTATTAGCTTCATTTCCTTGAATAAATGGCAAAAAAAAAAAGTATGGATCCTGCAACCCTATGACATCTCCTTTAGCTCTTGGGGGTTCACTTTGGGGCTGCCATCCTATATTTGAGGATGCAGAGCCAGAGACCCAAATACAGGTTAAGGTCCAAAACAAGATCTCATAGTTATGTGGATCCAAAATTCCAGAATTGTTAACTAGAAAATATGAAACTGTTATCTGAGGTTTTTCTTTTTCATGTAGGGTTTCTTTAGAAGAACAATTCAGAAAAATCTCCATCCATCCTATTCCTGCAAATATGAAGGAAAATGTGTTATAGACAAAGTCACGCGAAATCAGTGCCAGGAATGTCGCTTTAAGAAATGCATCTATGTTGGCATGGCAACAGATTGTAAGTAGAACTTCTTCATTTGCTTCCTCTTTGAGGAGTGTTGATTGGGGGGAAGGGTTTGGTGCAAGATCAACCAGACAGAAAAGCAAACAGGAACCCCTGTGTGCAGAACCTGGTGTTCCCGTTCAGGCTTAGCTCTGAGGGGGATATGTGGGAGCCGTGGACCCCATCCTACTTCCATCTTATCAACTCTCAAAGTATCCAGATGATGGGGGAAGGAAAGGGGTTAAATTTATCCCTGCTGTGCATGCAGCAACAGATTGCAGCACATTACAAAGGAGGGGTCTTGTCCACTGACCCTGATTAGTAACTTCTCATACCCAGGGTTCATATGCTCAGAGCCCTGGCAACTCGTCCCCTTATTTTTCCAGAAGCAGAAGTTGGAATTTACATTATGGGCATTCTTGGAGATGGGGCATTGGTGGAAAACATCATGTTCAAGAATTTCTGGAGAATTCAGTCAAGTGCTACTGCATGAGTCATCTCTCAGTGGCTTGCTTGTATTTTTAGCCATAAAGACATTCGAGCCGAAGTTGTCCTGCCCAGTTTTCCAAGTGCCACAGCATATGGTGATAAGATTAGCCCTTGGGGGGTCTCTCCTCCCTACACTGTGCAAGGGATTTATACCAGTCGCTTCAATTAATCCTAAAAAGAATAATTATGTCACTCAGCATGTGCAGCTTCCCTTCCACCAGGCTTCAGTATCAGTGATTTCTACTGCCATTAACTTTTGCACATCCATGAGTGATTGCAACTATTAGTTAAAAAGGAAAACCGAGAAAAGAAAATGCAGTAAGGACTCTTCCTGATACAGGAGGAAATACTCATGGCTTATGTTTATATGATAAATAGAATTCTCTCAGGAGGAATGAAAAAAAAAATCCACAGAATGTCGCACTTTGCTCAATAAGACAGGGTAGAGAACCTTCCAAAAAGGAAGGGGGCTGGGTTAGGGTGTTAGGCTGGAAATCCTGAGTTAATCCCTACCTCTGGCTGTGAATGTTCCTTATCTTTTAAAGACTTTAGCCCTTGCCAACAATATGCCCAGTAAGAATGTGTGAATATGATTGACTTGGAACAAAATGCTTAAATGTGTCACTACAATGAACCGTTATTACTGAACATCTATTTCATGGTTTCATTGGGAAGATCTGAAAATTTATGGGGTTAAAAAAAACTCAGTGTTAATCCTACTGTAGAAATAAGTTCTGAGTGTCTCTTCCTGCTCACAAGGCATGTTACAAGCTCAGGCATTATAAGCAGAAAAACTTCTGTTCAAGTCCCACAACTGCCACTAGCTAGCTGGTGGCATACAGCCTCAGGTTTTCCTTCTCTGAAATTAGTGTCTACCTCTGCAGGTTGTATCCAGGGTTAAATTAGATAGTGTTTATCAAATGCAGCAATCTCTGGCACACTGGGAGCATTTGGGAAATGGGACTACAGGTGTTATTACCCTTTAGTAAATGAGCCAAATGACGTAACAGGGCTCATTCACATTTTTCTGCATTTGTAAATGCTTATATGACTTTGAAAATCCAGTCCGGATCATCTGGGGTTTGATGTTCTATTTGTGCATTCTCCAGGTATCCCAGTTCCCCTCCTCCTGCTACATCTGCTTCTTTTCTTTCCCCGCTGAGTCTTCAAGTAGCTCTAGAAAAATGATGTTGTAGAACTGGAGTCAGGAACCCTGGGCCATGAGCTGAATTGGATAACATTTAATGCCTCTTCCAATTCTAAAAATACTGACTCTGGAATATAAGACCTGAGCTTTTCCATTCCACTGGTAGCTACTGAGTCTTGTGCAATGGTTTTGGTTTAGAAATTAACCACAGAAATAGAGGTTTCTTATTACCTGTTCTTATTATTTATGCAAAAAAGGTTGTAGCTACATTTACTGATTACCTACAGTATATTATCACATTGCATACCTTGTACAGTGGGTATTACTGATTCCATTTCACCTAAGAAGAAATGAAATCTCAGAGAGCCGGTCACTTGCCAGCGGTCACACAGCGAGATGGTGGTAGTGTTAGGATTCAAACCAAAGTCCTTCTAGATTCCAAAGACTAGGATCTTTACCATTGAGGGTTGATCAAGTCGAAAATAATGCATAGTGAGTACCTGTGAGGTCCAGCCATGTTCCAATTAGCCCTTAAGGGGTAGTTTGATTCTTTGTTTTGGGGGTTTTTGTTGTCGTTTCTGAGGAAGGAATTAGGAGTCTCCGATTACTGCTCCAGGACATTTTCCTTGACCTGAAGTTCTTTAAGGCAGGTGGAGAGAATAGAAATCCCGAGAGTGAATTCAGATTGGCTAGACAGATGTGCCTGTGACTCTATGGGTAGTATAGATCACATCTCTCTGCAAGAACTATATTCTATCACATTGCAGTGCCCAGTGTCCAAAGTTCCCTCAGGACATTGAGAACCTGCCTGGGCATTGAGAGTTTGCTCCCGGGATGATGGTGGACAATGGCTAGTCCATGGCACTTTGTTACCAAAGGGAGCAAATGCTTCAGTGTGACCCCCACACTCCCTTACCAGGCCATCTGTGCCATAGTGGCCCCTCCCAGAGGCTCCAGGACATGTGGGGTACCCTGTGTCCTGGGAGCATCTGTAGATCTCATCTTTCTCTCCCTCCCAGTGGTGCTGGATGACAGCAAGAGGCTGGCCAAGAGGAAGCTGATAGAGGAGAACCGGGAGAAGCGACGGCGGGAAGAGCTGCAGAAATCCATCGGGCACAAACCAGAGCCCACAGATGAGGAATGGGAACTCATCAAAACCGTCACCGAAGCCCACGTGGCCACCAATGCCCAAGGCAGCCACTGGAAGCAGAAACGGAAATTTCTGGTAAGGCTTCCTTCCATGGCTCCGGATCAGCTACACACCAGGTATTTTCCATCTCAACTCGACTCGTTTCCATAGCTCAAGGATGTGGCCATTATTGTCCCATTTTATTGATGGGCCCGATTTGAATCCTGGCCCTGCAAGTTTCTTGGCCTCTGAGTTGCAATCTGCTTATGTGAGACCTAACGGCCTCTCCTACCATCTACTCTTTGTGATTCACTGAATTCCGTTTCTCTGGCCTTTGGCCTCAGTTTGCTTTTGCTGTTAATGAGGCCTGTCCTGGAACAACTCATTGATAAACTTCATTACCTGCCAGCTTTCCCTGTCCCCATTCTCTGCTTCCCTCACATGCCCACTGTATACATTCTTAATCCTTAAGAATAGCCTTTAATTCCATCCCTCAAATATATTTTTATGTTAGTGATAGGGCACTTGCCTATGAAATCCTGGGTTCCATCGTCAGCACAAAGAAAAAAATCATGTCAGTCAAAAATTTTGGTGTATATCTATTTTGGGGTGCTGGGGATCAAACCTGAGGTCCACACTAGGCAAGTGCTCTACTGCTGTGCTACATTCTCAGCCCTCTAGAAGTCAAAATTTTTAAAGAAATTAATGGAAGACTATGAAAATAAGGAAGTAGGGACAGAGGGCAGGTGTGTAGGAAAAACAGACTTTTCTAGACCCTTGAATATTGGCATTTAATATTTTTCTAAAAGCTGGCAGCTGTGAAAGCCCTCCCCACCCACTGCTCATTTAGACTTCACAGTGCTTGACATTAAGCTGGGATCACCAGCCCCATTTTTTTTTTTTTTTAGATATGCAAACTGGGCCCAAAAGCTCACTAGGAACTTCTGACTCCAAGTCCAAGCTCTCTGCCCACCTCATTAGACGGACTCACCATCTCAGAGACTGATCCTGTGCTTAAGCTATGACACGAAGCCCTGTCTGAGCACCAGGCCAAGCTCTGGCATCAGATAGTCTATGAGTCCATGTCCCTAGGGAACATCCAAGTGCCTGCCCATCTGAACAAGCAGATACAGCGGTATCATTGGGCTTGTCCCTCAACATTTTAATGCAACAGTGTTTTTAAAAATCATAATAACCTTAGAGTAAGTTTTTGCAAAGAAAAAGCTTGCACCTATCCACCTGCTGTGAAACCGTGGCTTTGATGGCTGTAATGAAAGGACAATAGCAGTATTTTGTTAATGGTTCCCACTAATAGCAATATTTAACAAAGCCTTACATGACCTTTACTGTATGTCAGGCACTATTCTAAGGGTTTTGCATACATTTACTCCCTGTACCAACCCTACAGGTAGATACAGAGGACATCCCCACTGACAGAAGAGGGGACAGAGAGGTTTAAGAAATGTGTCCAAGTTCCCACAGCTAGTATGTGGTGGTGGCAGGTACAGCAGGCTCTAGGAGCCATGCTCCTCCCTGGCCACCTGCACAAACTTGAGAAGCCTCCCGAGCACACAGCACCTTGGAGGGGCCGCCTCATAATGCCTTCATCATGCATCCCCACTCCCACCCTATGTATTGGGGGTCTAGCAAGATAGAGTCTTGCCTAACCCTACTCCTAAATCCCTCCCTTGCCCAAACATGTCAGGCATAAATGAACATTTAGAAACCACTTTCAGAAAAGCTGGGCACAGTGGCACATGCCAATAATTCCAGCAACTTGGGAGGCTGAGACTAGAGGATCAAAAGTTCAAAGCCAGCCTCAGCAACTTAGTGAGACCCTGTCTCTAAGGGCTGGGGATATGGCTCAGTGGTTAAGTACTCCCCCCCCACCAAAAAAAAAAAAAAAAAAAACTTTCAGGCCTAATGCCACATTCTGACTTCAAGTAGTGACCAATAATGGAATTCAAGCTTGATGGAAGATTTGAGACAAATTCTTAACTTTTCTCCCAGGGGTAATTTAACAATTTTATTTACTTTCAAAAGAAAATGGATACTAGTCTGTCACTAAAGGAAGTCACTTAGCAGCTACTCTGTGCCAGGAAGTGAATATGTCAGCTACATTCCAGTTCAGGGAGCTAAATAGCTAGGGATGAGTACAGGGACAGAGTGCTTATGAATGAAGTAGGAGGACTTCATTTCTCCAAGTAGAGTGCTTAAATAGAAAAGGGCTCTCCGAGGAGGTGACATCTGAGCCATGTCTGCAAGCTGAGAAACAAACCTATAACAGAAAATATAATCAGACTTCTCCGTGGTTTCTTCATCAAAGGAGAACCTGTCTTGAGTCTGTACCCTTAATTTAGAGCCTTCTGCCAGTCATGGGTCTGACCATGTGCAGAAATAACCAAGAAAGGGACAGCATAGCATGATTTGCCCTGAACTTTCTGGCAGGGCCATAAGATGATCCATGCCAAAGAGGGTCTTGTTGAGGATACCGTCTACCAAGCAGTCTCTTACCCACCTGTCTCCCTCCCTGATGATGCCGACTTGAAATCTTTTTGTGGATCCTTGATCAGGTCAAGAAATTGTCCCTCTTGATCCAAATATAAATAACTGCTTCTCTAAGCCATTCTCACAGGGGGACATTAGAACTCCGTTACTGTCCCAGTGATCTATACCATCACTTTCATTTCTAGCAGTCCATCAGTCTGTGCCTGCATCTCCTAAGGGGGGGGTTGGAGACCATGTTCTTTTCACTCCCACCCCGAGGGCTACAATTATTCTCTCCTCCTTGAACCTGGGCTGGCCTATGATTCCTTTAAATGGCACATTAGGGCAGAAGAGATGCTTCTAAGGTTGTATCACAAGTGGCTTTGCAGGTCCCACTTGGGTCTCTTGGAGGAAAATCCAGGTCCCTCTGATACCATACCCTTGTGCTGGAAGGATGCCCAAGCTAGCCATGCCCAGAGGCCACTTGTAAGGCAAGATTCCCAACCAACCCAGACACCAGAAAAGTGAGTTTAAAAAAAAAAAAAAAAAACCCTCAGATGATAGCAGCCTATAGAGCCATTCAATGACAGCTGGATGAGGGGCTGGGGATTGTTTCAAGCCACTAATGAGGGGAGGGGTTGTTACACAGTAATAGATGAACACAACTCAAAATTAAGTTAAACGTACCATTTCCCTGGTCCCAGACATATTTATTACATACTCCATACAAAAATTAAGTGTTTATGCTCAGAGTGAACATTCCGCCTTTTGATCAGTGCATTATTCCTGTAAGGACGTTAAGAATCCTTTCCTAGAGTTGGCTTTGTTACAGGGTATACATGTACCGAAAGGTGTCTGGGAACTGAAGAGGCTTTTATGCATTAGGGTTTGTACCTCCTGCATGGCGGAGTCCTGACCACCCACCTCTTGGGTGCTTTCAACACTGTTCCACAAATTATTTCATTGATTTTTATGTGATGTCCAATCTTGTTTTGGAAAAATATTTGAAAAGGCCTATTATGATAGTAATAGTAATAGTAATATGGGGGATTAAAAGTTATATTGTCATAAAAGCTACAAGTATTCACTAATCTGGAAAAGTAAGTTAACTTAGGCCCCAAAAGAAGCTACTTCATCATTTTTTCACTCTAGGACCAGATAGAAAAAAAAAGACGGGTGGTTTGACCTGGGTTTCAAATCTATATTTGAATTTTGAGAAAATTAGAGTATTTGGCCCATGAATAACTTTGGCACAAGCCATGTTTTAAAACCGCTTCCAAAAGCACTGAAATCATGTAATTTTCTAGTTTTCTCAAATCTCTGAGGCTACAGAAAAGCCCAGTTTTACCAACAATTGGCTTGTGAAATGTGATGACGGACAGCAAGGGAAAGCTGGTCTCTCCACCAGGTGTCCCTTCTGGGCCTCCCTGGGGCAGGGACACCTTTAGTTTGACCCCTCTGTTGCTTTTGTAACTTCTAAATCGGTTATCTCACTTCTGTAAGACTCAGTTGCCCTGTGGCCTTCCAGATGGCATAAAAGCAATAGATAACAATAGGGCAGGCACCATTTGACCCATTAACCACATAGGTGGTTATGGTGTACATTCTCCCTCCCAGGAAAAGTGGGAGCCACTAGTCATGTCCCAAGTCTCAGGACCTTGAATCATAATCTACTCAGCCCTCCAAACATGCAAGACAATACCCTATGAATACTCCGAGATCCCATCCCACTCTACATGTGCCAAAGAGCTGCCAGGTTAAGCCAAGAAGTCTGCCAAGAGCCAACTAGCAGCATTTCCTGCTTACCACAAACAATAATCATGAAAGAGTCACAACAGGAAGCCAGTAGGTAGAGATATTTACATAACTTTGGCCACCCAGGTGATAAGCCTACACTTGCACAAAAAAAAAAAAAAATCATCCTTACTCTCCAGAGGAGGCACTCTGGCTTCCCTATTCCACATTCTGTGCATCTTTAGCCCTGAGACATATCTTAAACTCTATGTCTTTCCCACTGCAACCAAACCTATCGGTGTTGCCAGTGTTTTCCTTTGGCGCACACACACCATAATAACCACAAATATCACACCTCTCTCCTCTTTACACCCCTTCAGTGGCCATCCCTTTGCATTTAGAATAAGCCTGTGTCCTCTCCATGGGCCAATATAATGGGACTCCTACCTGCCTCATGTCATTACTGGGCTCTACCCATCTCAGCCTCCTTTCTGTGCTGGTGTTTCCCTTAATTGTCCTTCCCCCAGGCCTTCGACATTCTGTAAGTCAAAGCTTGCACACTGCTTTTCAAAGGGTCCTTGACAAGACCAGAAGTGACAGGGTATTATCACAGACTGAAATTTATTGGTGAATGTATTTTTCTTATCTATTACCCGTCTTCCTCAGGATACAAGTTCCTTGATGCTGCATTGTTGAAATCTCATCATCTAGATCTAGACCTGGCCCATAGTACTTGTTCATAAATATTGGCTAAATAAACATTGACACATTTATTCATTCCATTAAATAATAAGCATCTGTCCTCCACCATTTGGACGGATGCCTTGTACATAATAGGCAAAAATACATAAGGCTTATTCCCAACTCCTTTGAGAAGTTTGTCTTTGATATGCACCTATAATTAAAAGTGATAGTAATAAATGCCTAGTGCATGTGGGGGGGGGGGAATAAATGTGGACTGCCATGTGTGCTCTCAGGTGAGGGAGAACTGAGATCATCTTGCAAGATGTCTAGGAAGAGACCGAATTTGAGTAGGGTCTTGAAAAATGTGTGGGACTTTCAGAAAAAGGCAGTGTCTAGAGAGAAGGCAGCCAGGAAATGAGAAAGCATAAGGCAAGTTGTGGGGAGACAGGGTGAGGCCAGCTGGCTGGTCCAGTATATGTCCATTTAAGACAGACAAGAAGCCAGAGAGAGTTGGAAGGACCCACCCAAAAGCAAGCAAGGTAGCTGGACCCACAGAGGCAAAAGCGGGCATTCCCAAAGGTCCACCTGCAACCCAGAGACCTGTCTGTCCCTGAACTAGCATAAATCCAATATTGTGTATGTGGACAAATGGATCTCATAGCCTTATGTATCACTGCATGAGCTACAGTAAGATACCTAACAGATCCAAGTGATGTCAAAACACATTTTGTCCTTGTAGGTGAAAAATCTTAGTGGAAGTCATAAACAAGGGTGTATTTAACTCATCAAGTACCTATATATGTAGATTTTCATAAATGTTTTATTTACTTATACATTACTTATATATATATTCCATGTATAGAATATGTATTTTTTCTATCTGAGAACCATTATGGAGATAAGCCTTAATGAGATAATAGAAGACTTTGGCCTTGTATATAGTTTATTCTAGCGATTGTATTTGCCATTTAATATGCAGAGACTTCAAAGTTGCTTTTTCTTCTACTCTGATATATTTTTACCCAAAATAAAATGAACCTCTCATGTGTTCATAGATTTAATTAAAGTTGCTACATTTCTTTGCATAATTTCAGTCCTTTTTTCCAAATCTTTGGAGGGGCCATTGGTAGTGATTCAAATACACTATGTACCCACAGATTGAACGGGAGTCATTAGCACTAGCATCATTTCAAAAGAGACCAAATTTCTCCTTTCAGTGCAATCAGATTAGGTCTATCAGTATTCAGTGAGGAGATGGATCCAGAGAGGCCCAAACCATATTATATGAAGTATTTTTATTTCTAAGAATATTCCTACCTATATAAAATATATTCTGAAGTTTTATAACACTCCCTACCTTTTCAAATGCCTGCCCAATTTCATCAATTGAGCTCCATAACAGACTTGTGACATAGAAGAGGTAAAAGGAGCTTCATTTTCACAATGATAAGGTCTTAGAGCTGTCAGGTCTGAAGAAAGCACCAAACAGAGCCTCTCAGAAGAGGAATCCATGTACCTTTTCCCTCAGCTCCATCTGAGGAGGAGGAGGAGAGACGGGAGCTGTCCAGGTGATCATTCCACCCATTCTGTCTTCAGAAAGGCCACGAAGCAGGCCCTCTGTGGACATTCCATGCTAACAGCTGCCCTAGAACATAACCATTTACCACTAAAACATCACAGAAACCAGGTTTTATCCACTCACAGGCACCAAAACAATAGCATAACATATAAATTAAAAAAAAATAAAACAGGAGAACCTACTAGATAAAGGCAAGCCATGCAAATGTGCTATGTGATACAGCATGTATCAAAGACCTGTCCTGAGATGGGCACTATAACACCCCAGCCCCACCCCACCCACCTGCAGGGCCTGGGCTGACACTGACCTTGGCAACAGAGTTAAGACTCATCTGCTGCTTTTCTCCTGCTGAAAGCTACATGTGAGTGGCAACAGGAGACAGGAGGGAGGAAATATGGTAACTAGGTTACTCTGCGCTGCATTGGGTTGCCCCCAAGCCCTTGCTCTCAGAGTCCAGACCTATGGCATCAGCATGTCCCGGACACTTAGAAATGCAGATTCTCAGTCTCTACCCCTGCCCTACAGAGTCTCAAACACTGAGGGAGGGTCTCAGAAGTCTGGTGGTTCTGGTGAAGTTTGGGGGTCAGTGCCTAGCCAGGACCTTGCCATGGGAAGTACTCTCACTACTCTGTAAGTGAGGGCTTGGGTCCTGCTCAACTCACTCTAGGGTCTGTTCCTGCTCTCCCTCCTGCCTGCCCTCTACCCTGGGTACTCCTGACTATGAAGTGTGGCTTTAGGCAAAGGTGGCCACCATCAGGCAGGCCACAGATCTGTGATCTCTTTGGTGACATTCAAAACTTCCTGAAGAATAGGTGGAGAGGTGGGCAAAGGCAGCCTGAAGAGTAACACATCTGTTTCCTGGTAGTGGAGCGTAGGGGGAAGAGCCTTGCAGAGGGCTGGGCAGGTGAGGGATCCTGGAAAGGCTGCTGCCTGGAGTCAGGGCCACCAGGGCTCACCTTACCCTGCCTGAGCCCTGCTGTGCTCATCTGCAAATCAAGGCTTGGGTGAGGACCACCTGAGATAGGGCAGTGCAGTGGGGGCTGCCTCACCTCTAGTCCACAGATTGTGGTTATTAGGATCACAAAGACAAGAAAGGACAGTGGGGAAGACTGTTCCCACAGGAAAAAGAGTGACAATGAGAGAGAGAGTGAGGGAAGACAATACAGAATGAAGAGCTAGAATATTCCCATGGAACATGTGCACAAGTCACCTGAGGGATGTTGGCAGGGAACAGGGGAGTCCTGACTAAAACACTGATTCTGCACCATCGAGTCTGGGGAGGGGCCTAAAGAGCATCTCCAGGGGACACCCATGCAGCTATACCACCCTTTGAAGGGAAAGCCTCAAGTAAATAGCAGAAAAATGCCCTAAGGATACTGAATGACAAATTGGCCCCACTGCCCTAAGGTGCGCACAACTGGGTTCCCTACAGGCAGCCTAGAGATGGCCCCTCTCAGTGCTTGGCAGGATACCACCTTATACTAGATTCCGGACCACTGAGAGGAAGGAGCGTGGGTCAGAAACAAGAGTGAATCTAGTTAATCTACAGGGCACCATTGCTAGGGAATAGCCAGCCCATCATATGGCTGCATCCCTGCCCCACTGTGCTCACCCCCCCCACACACACACACACACACACAGAGAGAGAGAATGTACAGCGCTCCAAAAACACCATCCCAGAGACTTAGGTATGCACCCTTTTGTGCAGGCAAAAACAGACCCCAAGTGCCTGTCTCCTCTGCCTCCTTCCTTCTTTTTCCTACTAGCTCATTCTTTCCTGCCCCATCATCTGAAGAGCTTACCCACTTGAGCTCCTAGGCTGAACCTTGGGAACACTTCATCTCTGGAATTCATCATGCAGTGAATGGGGGCACTGGCTCAGCAGTCCCTCCCTCCTTCCCCTCCTCTCTAGCAACCATCCTGAGAACATTATCACTGATGGCTGATTAAGGCAATGACCAAGACATATCTTTGTTCCAAGACAACTGATGGGAGAACGCTACAGTTTGTTAATAAACGAGATGGAAATCAGAAAATTCAGCAGCAAGTCAATTCAGAAGAGCTTCTGCCACACAGGAACTACAGGAAATTCTATCTCCCTTCAGCTTTGTCCTTTAAATCTTTCTTGTTTCTCCTCCTCAGCCGGAAGATATTGGACAAGCACCAATAGTCAATGCCCCAGAAGGTGGGAAGGTGGACTTGGAAGCCTTCAGCCATTTTACAAAAATCATCACACCAGCAATCACCAGAGTGGTGGATTTTGCCAAAAAGTTGCCTATGTTTTGTGAGGTGAGGACATTGTTTTCTTTTGCATTATTTTTCTTCATAGTTCCATCAATTTCCAGGAATACTGGGTATTGTTTAGAGTTTAATATTAAAATTAGCCGAGCTTAGTCATATGAAAGCAATGTCAGTACAAAGTACAAATGCACCCTGTTCCATTGTTTCCCCCCACCTTCTTTAGTCTCAGCTTGTCCACGTGAGGGCCACCAAGACCCTTCCATGGACCTGGCTCCAAGTATAGGCAAATAAAATCCCAGTGACCGAACTCAAATTTGCCGACATAAATCCAATGTTTATGACAGATCTGCAGGATAGGTTCTATTAACCACATTTTACAGAGGGGTCAAAATAAGATCAAAGAGATGAATTGAACTTATCCAAAAGCAGTACCAGGATTGGGACATAGGTCTATATTCTTTGAACAACTTATCCCAGCAAGATGGTTGCATAATGGTTACTTAAGAATTAAAGTCAAGCAAGGCTCTCAATATCTCCCTTCGATCTTCCCTCTTTTCCTCTAAGTTCACCTTCTACCCCATCTTCAGGGAACCCTGAAGAGCTCAGAGACATTTCATCCCTAACTTTAGCAGCCCTGTCATGCAGTGACCGAGGACGTGGGCTCTGCAGTCGGCTGCATGGGCATGAATTCTGAACAGACCTGACGCCATGGCACACACCCGTAATCCCAGCAGCTGAAGAGGCTGAGGCAGGAGGAGCACAAGTTCAAAGCCAGCCTCAGAAACTTAGTAAGGCCATCTCTAAACAAAAAAAGGGTCTGAGGATGTGGCTCAGTGGTAAAGCACCCCTCGGTTCAATCCTTGGTACCAAAATTTAAGAAAAAAAAAAAACACATTTAATGTCTTCAAACTTCAGTTATCTCATCTTAAAATTGAAATTGAAATAGCATCCATCTTAGAACTATTGGGAGATTTAAATAGGATAATATAAAGTACTTGGACAGTTCCTGGATCATAAGCTTTCCTTAAAGCTGCCTAGGGGCTGGGGTTGTGGCTCAGTGGTAGCGCACTTGCCTAGCATGCCTGACACACTGGGTTCAATTCTCAGCACCACATACAAATAAATAAAGATCCCTCAACAACTCAAAAATGTTTAAAAAAAATTTTAGCTGCCTATAATACCGAAATGACATTTCCACCCTCCCTGTAACTGCCCTTTTTGAATCAAGTGGGACTGACTCTGTTTTCTGGAGAACTTTTCCTTTTGCAAAACTCCATTAGGTGCCAATCTAAGGCTCTTCATGCTTTCAGGGGGACCCAGAAAGATGATACTCACAAAGGCTCACACATGGCTATGTGTCTCTTCTGAAAGCCACTTGAATGATGAGAGATTGTGGTCTCGGGGAGAAGCATTTCCTCACCTAGAATGACCCCATGCTACCTTGGCTTCCAGCTCCATTGTGGCCTTGAGTTTGCAATAATGGGAGCTACAATTGGAGCAACCATAGACAGTGATGGGGATACTTCTCATTGCTCATTTCCGAGCCTCTACAGAAGGCATACCCACAAGGTTTGGGCAATGGACTTTAGGACATTGTCAGTTAGGTCTGGGGGTAAGGTACAGAGTGAGTGCGGGAGTACCTGTCTCCCTCTGACCCCCCCCCCAACTTGACTGTGGTGGGGATGAGGCATCAGTCAATTCAGGCTACTATAACAAAATACCAATAGGCTGGTTAACTTATAAGCAGCTGAGAAGATTGAGAAGTCCCAGGTCAAGGCACCAGAAGATCTAGTGTCTGGTGGGGACCTGCTTATCTGTTCATCCACTGCTGTTTTCTTGCTACATCCTTGCGTGGCAGAAGGGACCGGGGAGCTCTCTGATGTCTCTTTTATGAAGACACAAATCCCATTCATTAAGGCTCTACCCTGCCCTCAGAACCTTGGTACTATCCAAAGGCCCACCTCCTGTGCCATCACATCAGGGACGAGATGCAACAGAGGAATTTTGGAGGGATAAACATTTAGGCCATAGCACTAGGGTATTTGCTATGGAACTTCCTGTGCCTTATGACATCTTTTTAGAATTAATATTTATGACCATTTTGGAGGATGTTATAAAAATAGCCCATATTCTCTGGGTATGGTGGCGCACACGTGTAATCCCAGCAGGAGTATCACAGATTCAAAGCCAGCAATTTTGCAAGACCCTTAGCAACTCAGCGAGGCCCTCTCTCTAAATAAAATATAAAAAAGGGCTGGGGATGTGGCTTAGTGGTAAACCACCTGTGGGTTTGATCCTTAGTGCCAAGAAAATTTTAAAAGTTTTTGAAACAGCACATCTTCATTGCAGATTTATGCAACATAATAAACGTAAAAATTCTTGGTAAAACTGACATCAGTTTGGAGCATTTTTTTTATTTGTGTGTATTACATATACATGAAATGTGTTATTAATTTATGCAATAATGTTGTTTTTATTAAACCACTTCTAACCTTAAAGAGTGGTGTGCACCTGTCCTAAGGGTGCAGCTCATGAATTCATCCCCATAATCAGCACTGAGACCAAGGAACAGAACATTCCCAGCACCCACTGCACCTGATTTCACTGTCAGTGGTAGGACATATGAGTGTCCGTGCACAAAACGATTTTTAATGGCCAAATAGTATTCAAAAAAATGAAGTTATTTTTATCACTGGCTCTGTGGCTCATCTACAAATTTTCACTCATAAATGAGTGAACATTTTGGTAACTATGCCCTGCTCCTATCAATTCCTCAGGGTGCATCCATGGAATCTAAGGACCAAGGCATACAGAGATCCCTTTTGAGGCCCTTCTTATGTGTTCCCAGATAGCAATGGAGTGAGAAAGCATGCCCCTGAATGTCTTCAGACAAGCTTGCTTCCCCTCTCTCTCACCAGCTCAATGTCATCTTTATCTGTTGGGTTGGTTTTGTCTACCTGGGCCTTTCTTTGGTTGTGTCCCTTGAACCCCAGGCCTTGGTGGCTGAAGAAGAACGCTGTGGAGTTTGAGAGTTCAAGCCAGTCTGCCTGTCACATGGCAAGCGCCCTTCGAATGCCCACCAGCAATGTTTTGTAACAAATGGAAACCTCCCCAAAAACCAACCACTGAAGAGAGATTTCACTTAAAGAAGTCGTCTCCAACCCCAGAAACAAGCATTATGGGCCCTCTTGTCCATGGTATGGACGTGGGCTCAACATGGAAATTTCCAAGCATGGGGTTGTGGAAAGCTTTTCTCGTCAAGCTTTCCTTGCAAGTTTAAGGCTGCTTCACTGTCATGATTCCATCTCTCTTCCAACCCTGATCATTTGTAGTCTATAATTTACAAACAAGCGCAGACACATGTACTTCCAGGGCTGGGGGGGGTCTTCTCGGCACCTTTCATCCTTTCACATGCTATTTGAAATCCAAGGGAAGGTAATGAGCTCTACAGGGCTCTGCGCTACTCACAGAATGGGATGGGGATCCCAGGTTGTTTTGGAGCCAGGGGTTTCTTGCAGTTTGCTGCCTCTGCTGTTCAAACTGTGTGCCTGGTGATTATTCTGCTAACATCCTGTCAACCCACTAAACAAGGCTGGAGTGACAGCCAGGGCTTTCAGATATCTAAAAATCATTGCCAGTGGAACTGCCAGAACAACAAGTAAGAACCCCCTGAGATCATGCCATCATCTTTGCCAATTGACCTGAGCGTTGCTCCACTGAGGAGACAGAAGACCCTGGGGGCGTATCCAGCGCCTCTGCCTGACAGCCCATGTTGGAGCCTTCTCACACTGAAACACTGTGGCAGGTACCTGAGAGATGATTTGCCTATATATTAAAACAAATGTCACCAGGATTCCACACACCCCAAAAAGATGTGTTTTTAAACCAGTGATGATCCCTTGCAAATACTGATTCAGCTTTCATTTCAATTTGAACTAGTCATCAAGAGTTAGTAGGTTTTATAAAGAAAACTTGAAAAGACAACTTGACTTCAAAGGTGGGGTCTGCCCAAATTTTTATACTTTTACAGATTTAAAAAAAAAAAAAAAACAAGTGTTTTGATCTGATTAATAATTTCTCAGTGCTGTTCTATGCCAGAGGTTCTCAATAGGATCCACAAACCTGCAGAGTAAGCATTACTTGGGAATTTGGGTGAAATGGAGAAACTCAGAGGTGTAGTCAGGAATCTACACCCAACAAGACCACAGGTGATCCGGATGGGGCTGAAATGGGAAACAGGTGTTTAAGTTGGCCCCTCTCCTTTCACCAGTACAGGGTCTACCCAACCTTGGGCTTTCCACTTCCTACCACGCCTTGGGCCATGAGTTAAAGGATATAATTAATGAATATAAGTCAGAATCCAAACAAAAGCGAATCAGTGATTTCTTAAAAATAGGTGGAAGAAAAGAATTCATGTAAAGATTGCATGCATATGAACCCCAGAATCAAATATTAAATGACTTTTGGTCTTTAGAAAAAGCTAAGCCATTTAAATTAAATGGCAAGGTGACTAGGCTAAGCTAGTGCAAAATATGTAATACCCAGCATCTTAAACATAATTCAATAGCATTATGTCCACTCCCGTATAAAAACCGAAATTGCACTAGTCAAGTGTTGCCAAGAGCATTTCCCAGAAAGAATTCATAAGGAGCTTTAAGGAGGAGGTAAATATTATGTGTGGAAACTATTATTGTGACTTTTATACTCATAGTTTGTACAATCATATCCATGATATTTGAGTGTTCTCATCGCCACCCCCCCCCCTTGGCATTGGGTTCTGACAGATCTAGCTTCAAATTCTAGCCTCACCCACAAGACGTTCACATGACCCTTACCATCTCACTCACCCTTTCTGTGCCCAAGTTTTCCCATGTGTAAATAAAACTGGATTTAGAATATCTACCCCAATGTATTACTTGGAAAATTAAATAAGAATGCATGTAAATCTTAGCATGATGCCTAATTCATCAAAAACACATTAAGAGCCTTTCAAATGAGTTTGATAATGGCATTTAAACTCCCCAACCACAAAATAAATTTCCATTATTTTTCTGGTTATTTTATAAAGTACATTATTCATGTTATCCCATTATCATAAATCCTAATTAAAGGGGTAGACACATGAGCTTAAAACGAAATCACAATACTGGCAGAAAGATCTGGTGTGTTAAGCAACTCTGGTGTCTGAGTTGCTGAGAAGAACATAACCTTAGGAGCCAACACGTCTGAATTCTGTTCTCACCTCTGCCCTCCTCGACTCACTGGGAAGGACAAAGCTTTTATCTCTCTGGGCTTCTTTAGTAGCATCTGTCAATAGCCTCCTAGTTCTGCGCTTTTTAAGAGACTCAAGGAGCCAACTTGCTTCAAAAAATAAAGAGAAGCTGTTGCAAACTGAACAGTAGAGTCAACTGCTAAGTATCAGAACTGGAGGACATAAAAAAAGTAGAAAAATTGGTAAGTTTAGCATAAACCCTGCTCTCAGTTATCCAGTAAAGACATAAAATAATCCACAAACTATGGGGTTGAACAGTTTTATACATGACTAATGCCAGTTGGAAATTTATATCTGTCATAAAAGAAATGCAAACTACTGAGATTAAAGTTGAAGATTACAGCTAGCCTGGACCATTAAGAATAGCTGTTGAAAGTCTGCTGCCACATAGAGGGTTTGGGGGTGGGGGAGGAGAACCAGGGGCTCCAAAAATGCTGGATGAGTGTCAGTGACAGAGGTCATTCCTGTTGCTTTTAGGACACTGCATATGGCTTTGACTGGCATTTTCCTTTTGTCCTTTGCTGATGTGGGCTGCTTCTTTTCAGCTGCCATGTGAAGACCAGATAATCCTCCTCAAAGGCTGCTGCATGGAGATCATGTCCCTTCGAGCTGCAGTGCGCTATGACCCAGAGAGTGAGACTCTAACCCTGAATGGGGAAATGGCAGTGACACGGGGCCAGCTGAAAAACGGGGGTCTTGGGGTGGTGTCAGATGCCATCTTTGACCTGGGCATGTCTCTGTCATCTTTCAACCTGGATGACACCGAAGTAGCCCTCCTTCAGGCCGTCCTGTTAATGTCTTCAGGTGAGTATGCCTAGATTTGTTCTGGGTATAAAAGGAGTTTTATGTGTCTGGTGCCAATTCAAATCACAAATGAGTCTTCAATCCCCCTTCAATTAGGGGTTTGCCAATAGGCTGGGAACTGAATGAAGGCATCAGATGTCTGATGGTTTTTGGAATTCTCCAGGGTAGTAGGAGGGGGCGGGAACAAAAGAGGTATAAAGACTATCAGCCAGGCATGGTGGTGCACAGCTGTAACACCAGCAGGTCAAGAGGCTCAGGCAGAAGGATCCCAAGTTCAAGGCCAGCCTCAGCAATTTAGCATGGTCCCATCTCACAATAAAAAGAACTGAGGGTGGGGCTTAGTGGTTAAGGAGCCCTGGATTCAATCCTCAGTACTATAGAGAGAGACCGACTATGAATTGACCACTTTCAGCAGACATCACCCATCCTGCCTCCTCCCATTTCTGTGTGCACAGACATGGATGAGAGGGACCAGATCATTCTTTGTTAAGCTGTGTGTGTGTGGAAATCATATGAGAGTGTCAAAATTTGCTCCCAGGGGTGAAGGGCAGTGAATAATGCCAACAGCTTTTTCTTCAGGGACCATGTCATAAGAAATAAGAAATACAGAACACATCTTGTTACTTAAGGGAAGCTAATCTTTAAATATAAGGTGGTTTCAGATTCATCCTATGAATTTGCAGAATACCTGAGTGAGCTCTGCTTTAGTGCCTATCCCTTTGCACTCTAACTACCTGCTTAACTTGACAGTGTCTCCATCTGAACTGTTCAGTCTTTTGAAGACAAGGCACCTAGGCTAGGTTTTAGCATTTGAAAAGTATGTATTACATCAATGGCTGAATATATGGGTAACATATCTGAAATGTATTCCGATGCAAAGGAAAAAAAAAAAACAGTAGAGCCAGCCCTCTTTATCCTCAGTTCTATATGTAAGGATTCAACCAACCACACATGGAAAATATTTTGGGGATGTGGGATGGCATCTGAATACACACAGGCTTTTTTCTTGGCATTATTCCTTAAGTAACACAGTATAAAAACTATCTACATAGTATTTACATTGCCTTTGGTATTATAAGTAATCTGGAGATGATTTAAAGTGTATAACAAGATGTACGTAGTTTATGTGCAAATACTATACCATTTTATAATGAAGGACTTGATTTTCCTCAGATATAAGTACCTGCAAGGTCTTGGAACCAATCCCCCACCCTCATGAGTACTGAGGGAGAATTTTACATATATATAAAATATATAATTGTATACAATTTTAGAAACTATAGATAGTACAACCCAATTTTATATACAAACTGTCATAAATATGAGGTGTGTTGGTACTGTCCGTAGTTTCAGGTATCCACTGGAAGTCTTTGAATATCCCAGCCCCATGGATAAGGGGGAGGACTACTGAATACAAGAAGGGAAGGTGTGGCGTATTGTAGCCTCAAACAACTTAAAATTCGAGATTATGTTTCTTTATATCCAAGAGACTTTCTTACTGTCTAGCAGTCTTCCGGCCTCAGCAATGTCACCAGTCTCTTCTCAGATCTCTTCCCTACCCCGACATGTTCGTGCTAGTCCTCTCCACTCCTGCAGGCAGCCAGGGGATTGTTTCCCTTATTATGCAATGGTCAGCTACATTGTCCTAGGAGGGAGGCATCACCTTTCACATCCAAGGAGGCGATTTGTCTAAGCTAGAGGTATTCATCTAAACAGAGCACTGCCGCTCCCTGGTCACTTGGTCCCTAGTGCCATGGAATTCATGCTGCATCCAGGCTCCCTCCTTGGAGCTGAAAAGACCCCAATCTGCCTACCTCTCACTAAAGGACTAGAAGCCACCTCTTCCCACCTCTGAAGTGTTAGCTGGGGGGCAGTGGCACATGCCATCAATCCCAGCAACTGGGGAGACTCAAGCAGAAGGACTTAAGTTCAAGGGTGGCATGGGCCACTTAGCAAGACCCTGTCTCAGAAAACAAATGGGGCTGGGGATGCAGCTCAGAGATAAAGCATCCCTAGGTTCAACCCTGAGCACCCTTCTCTCCGCAAAAATTAATAACCTCATTCTTCCTTCCCCTCAGATCGCCCAGGGCTCGCCTGTGTTGAGAGAATAGAGAAATACCAAGATAGTTTCCTGCTGGCCTTTGAACACTATATCAATTACCGAAAACACCACGTGACCCACTTCTGGCCAAAACTCCTGATGAAGGTGACAGACCTGCGCATGATCGGAGCCTGCCATGCCAGCCGCTTCCTGCACATGAAGGTGGAATGTCCCACGGAACTCTTCCCGCCTCTGTTCTTGGAAGTGTTCGAGGATTAGACGGACTGGATTTGTTCTCATAATTCCTACAGCACTACTGGGTGTCATTTCATTCCATTGCCTAGCTCTTTTGTTCGTTTCTTTGTTTCTTGTTGGGAGGGATCGTCTGGGGGGAAGGGAGGTCGTCCTCGGCATAGACATGGATGAAACTGTCCCTTGAATGCGGGTCCTTGTAACTATTGCATTTTGTTCCCCGGTCCTTCGATGTGAATGCTTTGGAGGTTTTACAGTTGTGGAGGCAGGGGAGGGGGGGAGGGGGGGGACAATCATCACTTCACCAGCACCTGGCCATCACCAGCTCCCACCCGTCCCTTGTCAGAGACTCAAGCTAGCCAAATGGCACTGCAGAAGAGTAAAGAAGCCTTAAAACCGAGATAATGCCGCCATCGTGATCCAATCCCAATTTTTGCAGGGCTCAAGGTAGCAGAGCACAAACCACCTTTGGTTAGATGTGGCTTTCAGCTTTTTAGGGAAAGAATCAAATTTTCATCTACTCGAGAGCATGCTCTTTTCAGCACTCTCTCCTTCCCGCATAACTTGGACTGTACAGGAATACTGGTGTCCTAACAAATCAGCTGTCCCTTCATCATTTTTGTGACCTTGTGATTTAATTTCAAGTTACACAGGAGTATGACTCAAAAGATACGCAGGTATCTGGCTGATTGAGGCCCCAGGGAGAATAATTTTCTTGAGCGAGCCCAAAGAAATTGGAAATCTTCACCAATGTTAGTGACTCCGCAGTTTCCAAAACTTCACGCACGATTACCTCATGGTAGGAAGACTTCTCTAGAGCTGAGGGTCACAGAACATTCCCACAGAAGTCAAACCTGTTTATAGGGTGTCGTCATGTTTCAATGGCATCTGGTCTGCCATCTCCCGAGCTGCTCAAGTTATTTATCCTGGCTGCACCTTTGCTGAGTTAACAGATTTCCCTATGGATCAAGTCTTCTAATCAAGGCGAGATAAACAAGCTGAAATTTGAGTCTGGTTTGGAGAATTCCAAGGAGAGATTAGCGCTGTTGAATTCCAAATTGAAGGAAATCCAGTATTCATGTGCTGGGTGACTTGGGAATGTTTCCTTCGGGTCGCACGTCCTCAAGAGATTTTCTTTATTCACAAATATTCCCTCCAACTCTGAGGCACTAAATCGCTCAACTCTCCCTACATAAGACGGGTCCTATCCCCTTTATAGCACTATTCTGACAGATATTCAGCAGGAAACCCCTGAGGGTCACATACCAGAACACTGTCACCTTCCCCACCCAACCTCCCTCTCCGATGACCGTCATGGAGTAGATGTGCCCAGAAAAGAAACGGTGACACCTCATCACTTCAGCATCAGAAAATGGGCAAAGAATGTACCCATGCAATTGAATGTATCTCATTCTTCACTGGCATAGTAGATATAAACTGCCTTTTACTGCCTTATCCTGGAAATATTGGGGAAAATAAGCCATATCCATGAGATTTACCTAAAAACAAAGGAATGATAGTCACTGTGAAAACCAAGTGGACTCATTTTCTTTAGGTTTGGTGGAGCCGAACCAGCCTAGAAGTCAGGGTGCCCAGGTTCTGGTTTGTGCTCTGTCAGCTGGTGGTTTCTGGACCTTAGTTCTTGGTTTTCTTATCTGGTAAAGAAGACATGATGTCCTAAATCCTCACCTTCCATATTGTATGAATTTCAGGGGGTGAGGGTGGAATACCGTTCTTTGAATGGTTTCTTTTATAATCAAATTTCAAGCTTCATTAGACAAACAAGTGTGGCCCATTAGCAGTTAAGAGATGTATATTTGATATGGATGGTGAAGACGAATTTGCACAATGCTAGCCAAGGATTTAGAGGAAGACAGGATGGTCTTGGAGAAAGAAAAGAAACAGCACTGAAAATCCCCAGCAGGACTGGAAATAATGTGAGGGGAGGGGAATTGTATGTTTGATGTGCTAAAGCAATTACATTGGCTTCTGGGAAAAGACTATCGCTACAGTACTTGTTAATCAGATATAGGAAGTGGGTGAAGAGATTAAAATATAAGCATGAAGTTGTTAGGCAGATTACCTGCCTTAATATTATCTATATAGTTGGTTTGGGTTGGTTTGGATTTGGGGTTTTCTAGGCAGCCTCTAGCCAGTCTCCTTACACGTTTGCCTTGCCAACATCTCAACTCCCTCTGTTGGCTCCCCCTTGGAAACTCTCTGCAAAATGAACCACCACTTCTAGCTCCAGAGTAACAGAGAAGTTTACTGTGTGGAGCAAGTTTTCTTTCCAAAAGCACCCAGAGAAGGCAAGCAGGTGAGCTACTAGACAGGCTCGTGGATTCTAGGGCATCAGGGTTTCCAGAGAATGTTTCCTTGTGTTGCTTGACAGAATGCCCAGGACATCAGATTCCCAGATGCTAATGGCAGTGCACACCCTGCTATCAAGCTATATCAGAAGGCTTTGGGGATTAACTATGATTGGGTGTTGTTCAATGGTAGATCCGGCTAGCCCTGAGCAGAGAAAATATTAGATCTCCCACTCCTTAAATGACTGCCTTACACAGGCAAACCCCTGGTCTAGCAGCCCTGTTGAAGGCTGAATACTTCACACTAAGTAGGACAGCTCACAGTACTTCAATTTGAGGGAAGAAGATTTAAGGATTCAAAGGATCATGACTGTGGAGGTCAGAGCAACTAAACTCACTCCTTCTGAAACTGACGGAGATACTTAGTGCATCTCAAAAAGCTCTACTGGGAGGAATTTGCTGGGGATTTCTTACATTTTTTTTTTTTTAACATTTTTTTCCTTATATTGTCCGGACTTTCAAATCAAGTATGGACCTAATGGAAATGGCCTTCACCCCTGCCCCCAACCGTGGGGAGACATTCCAGGAGAGCAGGACATACCCACACTGCGGGGATTCCTACCTAAAAGTTGCTCACAGTTAGGGACACATAGGCACAGGTGCGCAGGGCACACGCGTGTGTCTGTATGCAATCGTGAGGGTTGTGTGCGTGCGCATGTGTGTTTTTAACCCTCAAGTGTACTTTGCTCTTCAATTCAGACATGTAGTCCTTCCAGAAACAGTGGGGGAAAAAAGAGCTTTCCTCCTTTATGAGTCTGCTCAAAACACGACGTGCCGCCTCAGAGCTTTTTAATAGTCAAACAAGCTCAGTCCTCAATGACGCGCTTGACGTGTTGATGCTCAGCCCAGCGATGTCCCCTCACTTGGGCCCCAAGGGACACCTCAGCCTGCAGTGCAATCACCCGGAGGGCTGCCAGGCCCAGCTCGGCTCCAGCAACCCATTCCCCGTTGCTCCTCTGTGAACAGGTGTACAGCCTCGGCCCCTCCTCGACACTAAGCCCCCAGACAGCCTCCACGGAACTGCTGAGCACCCCCAAAGCATGTCCTTGTCAGTGATACATTTTTATTCTATGGAACTCTAACCTATTCGTGTCATATTGACCTTTTGCTGCATGAGTCATAAATTATGAAATCGGTCTTATGGTTTTTGAAATGTAGCCAGCATTTGTAAGGCTAAACCTTTTTCAAGAACTTAATGTAAGTGAATAACCAAGCCACAGCTCCTCCTCCAAAGGAGAGCGATGACACATTTGAATCTCTTTGCCCTTTCCAACCACGATGGCATCAGGTTCTAAAATAAGCTCGTAATTTTTCCTGTTATTTTAATAATATGGAAATATTAGCCTAGTGTTTCTTTCATAGTGATAGACTATAATCCATATTTAAATTTTATAGAGAAGAAATTTTATTGTACTGTGATGTAGATATTTATTATCCAGGTAAGGATTTGCCCGGTGTGTATTTTTTACAATTGAAACATTTTACTTTAATCTTTAAAAAAAAAAAAAAAAAAGTTAAAAAACATACACACAGAAAAAAAAACAAGGGGTAAAAAAGGTTTGGCCTTATCACAGAATTTTTACTGTGCTGTATAAATGTTTGCAAATGCAAAAAGTGTGCATTTCTAGTGTGTTTCCACATTAATTAATGCCGCCTTCAAGAGCAATATCGTGCAGGTAATAACGCTGTTTGTGGCTTTCTGTTGCACAGTTAAAGCTGACCCACCTTATGCACAAGACAATCAAATATAAATCTGTCCTCCTCAGGATGCAGATAATACTCATGTACATATGGAGCACAATGTAAGACAAAAGACGACTTTTTACACGTGTATTGTTGATACGGCAATTATCAGGGCATGAATGCACTCACAGGACTTCACCCCACTTTTCTTTCTTTCCATATGAACATCTTTAATTTCATCATAGATCCAAATGAGTTCTCCACCATGCCGTCTTCAGAGAAAACACTTTCCCCCCATAATGTTTTCATGCCCTGATAATCAGAAAAATGCTACAGAATAGAAAAGAACAGTCATTGGAAGATGTGTGTTTTGCAAACAGTGTTAAGTGATATTGCTAGATTGGTAATATTTTTCTCAGCCTAAAACTCTGTTGAAATCTGTGATCAAAAATGTTTTAAACTATCCAAAAAGAAAATTTGTATATTTGGGAAAAATGGATTTTTACATAGCTTTTGTATGCAAATATTAAATTGTAATTATGAATATAGTGGGCGTAGATAAACTCATAAGCTTAAATTCTAAAAAAGAGAAAAAGAAAAAAAAAGAAAAAGCTTATAATGGACGTACTTTCCCGCCTCTTTCTTTAATTTTTATTAGTTTCTAAATAAGCACAGAGTTGCCTACTCTTCTCACTTTAGCTGTTGCCAAAGGGAGAAAAACAGGGATGCTACGGACACTTGGTTCATAACCATCTCCAGAAAAAGCAAATGTACTTGGGAGAAAGGTATTGGGGTGGGGGATATGAAAGGCTGATGGGGGTTACCTCTTTGGAAGGCCACAGAGACACAAGGAGAAGGAAAGATCTCATTTTGCAAGTCAATGACTATTTGTTTCATTATCTCGAAGTGTTCCAGAATATTATTAATGGAATAATACAGCAGCTACCAACATATAGCTCCATCCCCATTTCCCTCAACATGTCACTGTGAAAAAGGAACAAAAGCTAAATCAAACTGGCTTAAACATAAAAGGAATTATTGATTTTAATGGATTGAGAAGTCTAGGGATAGGACAATCTACAGGCAGGGCTGGGTCTGGATGGTCACTTTGGATTGTCAAAAAGCACCTCTCTCAGCCTTTTTGTTCATGTAGGCTTCCAGTTCACATAGCCTTGACCTGATCCTGGCCA